ATGGTGATGGGAATAGGCAGACTTATAATACATGGCAGTTTGAGGACTGAGGACTACAACCTTTTTCTTTTTCCTCCCATCATGTGCTGTGGACACCAGGCACCATCGGCGACTGGAAGAATCACTTCACTGTGGCCCAGAACGAGAGGTTTGACGACACCTTCCACAGAGAGATGGCAGACATTCCTCTGGATTTTATCTGGGACATCAAAGACGTTGCGTGATCGGTTGTTTGTCGCATGACAACAGGAAGGAGAAGATGGTTGCAGCTTCATGAACACCAGGCTCTGCAGAAAAAATAAAACCTCTTTTCCGTCAGCATGCCTGTGCTTTCCTGAAGTTTCACAGTGTTTCATTTTAGTTTTCTTTGATTATCTTTGCAAAGCAGTATTAAAGACAGAATGTGTAATTGATTGAGGACCTCTGACTACTACCATGCTGAATATCAAGTGTTTTTACTATACAGATGGAGATTTCTCCAAAGTAAAAGCCCTATTTTTGTCGAGGATGCGTGGAGGAGGCAGGACTCAAATGCAGACACGGAAAACAAAAGACTTTAATAGTCAAAAGGCCAAAAACACACAGGAACCAGGGGGAAAAACAACAGGCAGGAAACTACGGACATCCAGGACAATAGACAATGACGCGACAAGTGACACAAGAGACACACGGCTTAAATACACAAGGGAGGTGCAGGTGATTGGACACAGGTGGAAACTATTAGACGATCACGTGACGGGACAAGGCAGGAAGTGAAGTTACCCGGGGACACGAGTGGCAGAAAACTACAAAATACAACAGGAAGTGAACCACACCGTGACAATTTTTGTTCAAAAACACCATTTTTCAAAGTTTGAACTGCGATAAAAAAATTGCAGTTCATATAAGTGCATAAGTGCATTCCACCATAGGGTACAAACTCAGAACAAGAAAGTGCAATTTCCTCAAATAAGCCAATTTACAATTTGCTTTAGATGAGTGGCGTTATAAGTACAATGTAAGTGCTACAATTTGTTAGTCTTTAGTCGAGGTAGAGTCTGGAGAGGTGTGTTTTTAGTTTGCGGTGGAAGATGTGAAGGCTCTCTGCGGTCCTGGTGTGTTCAGAGAGCTCGTTCCACCATTTCGGAGAAAGGACAGCAAAGAGTCGTGATCTAGTCGAGTGTTTTGCTCTCAGTGAGCAAAAAAAAAAGCAGAGTGGAGAGTGCGGGTTGGGATGTCGGGTTTGACCATGTCCTGGATGTAAGCTGGACCCGATCCATTCACAGCATGGTACGTGAGCACCAGTGTTCTGAACTGGATACGGGCGGCCACCGGTAGCCAGTGAAGAGAGCGGAGGAGTGGAGTAGTGTGGGAGAATTTAGGAAGGTTAAAGAGCAGTCGAGCTGCTGCATTCTGAATGAGCTGCAGAGGTCGAATGGCGGTAGCGGGGAGACCTGCCAGGAGGGAGTTGCAGTAGTCCAGGCGGAGAGTGACAAGAGCCTGAATCAGTACCTGCGCTGCCTTCTGAGTGAGAAGGGGACGTATGCTTCTGATGTTATAGAGCGTGTATCTACGCATCTATCATATTGTCGCAGTGATGTTGGGAGTCAGGGAGAGTTGGCTGTCAAGTGTCACGCCGAGGTTCCTAGCGCTCAAAGTGGGCGTTAGCACGGAGTTGCCAAAGTTGACCGTCAGGTCCTGGGTTGGAGAATCTTTTCCCGGAAAGAGAAGTAGTTCAGTCTTGTCGCGGTTGATCAGGTGGTGGGCGGACATCCACTGAGAGATGTCAGTCAGACAGGCAGAGATTTTTGGACAAAAAGGGAAGAAGAGAGACCAGTCTGTAGTTGTTTTCTTCAGAAGGGTTGAAGGTAGGTTTCTTAAGGAGAGGGTTGACTCTTGCCTCCTTCAGAGAATTGGGAAAACAGCCAGATAACAGAGCGTTGTTGATGAGACAGGTGAGGAAAGGAATGTCAGGTGTGATAGATTGTAGAAGATGTGATGGAATGGGGTCAAGAGGGCAGGTGGTCGGACGGGCAAAGGTTACTAGGGTAAGAATTTGGGCGATAGAGGTGAAGCCAGTGGGATGCAAGAAGTAGGAGGTGGGTTTGAGAAAGAGGAGCGTATGTCAGCTATTTTCTTCGTAAAGTAGTTGACAAATTCACCCGGAAAAAGGGTGGAGGAGGACTAGGGGGTTCGAGGAGGTTGGAGAAGATCGAAAAGAGTTTATTAGGGTTAGAAAATGAAGATTCGATTCTGGATTGGTAGAAAGAGCTTTTGGCAGCAGAGATAGAAGCAGAAAAAGAAGAGAGCTTTAAATTCAAGCAGGTCGTCAGGTCGTTTATATTTACGCCATCTCCTTTCCGATGCTCGCATGGTGGCTCTCATGGCACGCGGTTGAGACAGCCACGGAGCCGGAGGGGACTCGCCAGTCCGTCGGGTCATCAGAGAGAGTCTAGAGAGGAGGAAAGAGTTGAGAGGAGAGTCCCTGCAGCAGCGTTCGGATGCAAGAGTGAGTCAGTAGAAGGGAGAGATGATAGAACAGGAGGAGGCCAGAGAGGAGGGAGAGAGGGAGCGAATGTTGCGACGAACAGGTACAGAATCAGTCAATGGGGCAGGGTCGTTAGTTATGGAGAGTGGGAGAGAGATGAAGTGGTCAGACACAGGAAGTGGAGTTACAGAGAGGTTAGTGGTAGAGCAGTTTCTAGTAAAGATGTAGTCAAGGTGAGTGCCGGCTTTGTGAGTAGGAGAGGGACTGAGTGACAGAGCGAAAGAAGGTGTAAGAGGTCAGATGACTTCTCTGCCTGGATGTTGAAGTCACCCAGGAGGATGAGCGGAGGGCCATTTTCAGGGAAGTTGGACAGGAGAATGTCCAGTTCTTCCAAGAAATGACCCAAGGAGCCTGGCGGACGGTAAAGGACAACGATAGTTAATTGTGCCAGGTGAGTAAATCAGTGTGTTTACATGATGGTATAATTCGACTATGCCATCTTTCGGGGGGAGGTGCTATTATCCCAATATACATGGCAGTGAATAAATCGAATCATTGGCCGAAAGCATGTCATATACGATAGGTGGCGCTGTTTTCATTACAACTACAGTAATGAAATGAGTGGAGCGGGTGAGATAGATGAGAGAGGAGAGGTTACGATAGAGAGCGGATCTGGCCCGAGGCCTGTAGTATCTGCGGGAAGAGGTTCGGACAGGTATGGGTAAAAGGGTCAAACACATAATCAAAACGAGATGAAGGCGCCGCATTCAGCCGCCCCGAGGACTCCACGAAAGACTCCCTAGTCTCTGTCCTGCTCGTCATGACTCCCACAAAAGACTCCCTAGTCTCTGTCCTGCTCGTCATGACTCCCACAAAAGACTCCCTTGTCTTTGTCTTGCTCGTCTTCGTGCTGCGAGGATAATTTAACGCTTCACTCGATCTGTAGTTAAATACTCCCTCGTTAGTGGGAGTTGGCTACGGCTGCGCTGACCACTCCCCTGTCGTTTAGGAGACAAAAGGTCGATTGGCCTCGACAGAAACTCCTCAAAATGCAAAACACCAATTGCTTGACACTCTAATCAGTGAACAATCACCATGTGGCGTTTTGACAAACTGAGAGTTTAAGGATTCAAGTCTTATTTGATTCAGAAGTGAAGGCAAAACAGACTTAGATCAGGTCAAAACTAGCAGAGTTAGGTACCTGAGTTAAGGATATCTCTGGTTACTAGCATGCTGAGTATCAGATTTGGAGATTTCACCAAAGTAAAAGCCCTATAATTGCACGTTCAAAAAGACCATATCTCCATATTTGAAATGCAAAAAAAAATAATTCTCAATAGTTCCAGGCAAAGACTAGTGTACTCATGTTAAGGACCTCTCTGACTACTACCATGATGAATATAAAGTGTTTTTACTGTACAGATTTGGAGAGTTCTCTAAAGTAACAGCCCAATTTTTGCAAGTTCAAAAACACCATATCTCCATTTTTGAAATGCAATAAAAATAGATTTATCAATAGCTCTCTCTCTACATATATATATATATATATATTGAAGAAAAGCTGCTCCCGACCAGGTTATGTTCACAGGCTCAGTTGCCATGGTGACTGACCCTGAGCTTTAGTTACCTCCCTTTGTGAAACAGACGGGCCACAGTTTCCCTCATCTCAGGGTTAACAAACTCTTGAGTTTCCACTAAACCCGCTTCTTGAAACGGACCCCAGGGCCCTGCATTCGTATTTCAACTGGACAATGAGCCCAAACACACCTCCAGGCTCTGTAAGGGCTGTTTGACCAAGAAGGAAAAGGTCTAAAATAGAAAACCTATTCTGGTTGGCTGAGCATTTTCTTTTTTACCACATTTCGTATGTGTTCCTTCACAGTTGTGATGCCTTTAATATGACTCTAGAATGTAGAAAAACCTTTGAATGAGAAGGTGCATTCACACTTTTGACTGGTACTGTGTGTGTTTGTGTGTATAATATACTTCATTGTGTCTGTGGGGAGACAATACAGATGAAAACATTGTTCTGCATGTTGTCAACTTTGAGAACACATGAATGTACATCCAAAATGTACATTTAGGTGTTTATTTTACAACTGTAGATTTATTCTAAATTCACAGTTAGGCTTTGATAATGCTTTTTTGTACATATTTCAACATAGATTCAAGATTTGCAGAAATCAACTGGAGACGTTTTATGGTGATATGAGTGCAATTCATTACTGTCTTCCCCGGTTGTCTTATTACAGCGTAGGCATCTTTTAAGGCTCATTACAGAGTTTTTTATTATTCACAAGTTGCATTAGTAGAACTTGCATTTCCCAAACTTCCCAGTTTTTCAATTTCATTCCCATCTATATTCTGAAAGTTATTTTATGTCTGTGCCTTTAGAGCTGTATTATCCTACATCCAAATTTCCCTCTATTAAAACTTTTAACTCTACGTCAACAAAATGAAACAAACTGTAGTAGATAGAAATAGATACGAGTACTAATCAGTGTCTTGTTTTGCTACATCTACTCTCCCATCCTTCAGACACAACTACTGCATGTTTTATTAAACCTTTTATGAATTACTGTGCAGTTAGATTCAAAACACTGACCACACGGCCAATATATCAAATATAATGTATAATTAAAAATAGCATTCAACATTAGAAGCTTTCAACTCCTCAGCTTTAGATTGGGATAACACTTTTGATAATGACTGCTTATGAATGTCATAGTTATTATATAAGTTGCTATTACTTAAAGGGGGATTCTGGAAAATAAGTGATATTTAAAAATACCATTGCTGAATGCACCTTAAAATAAGTGTGAATGCAGGAAAATTACTTTAATGTTAAATCTTGCTTATTCTGGGCCAGGAAAACATATAGTGCCCTCTGCTGGCCAGGTAGCACCAGGACGTCAAACAGCACTAGAGCCCAGTCACACGTTTATTCAGTCAATTAAATGGTTCAGGCATTGAACTTGTTTGTGTGTGTGCGCGTGTATGTAAGTGTGTATTCAGGAGGATCTTCTCTCCAATTGCTGCTAAAGAGTCTTTCCAAAATAAACGTGACTGGTCAGACGGTCGTATCGCAGTGAGGGACAGGTGTCCCGATTCAGTCCTCATCACTCCCCATCTGTAATGGGTCAAAGTCGGGGTCGTCCTCATCCAAGTCCAAGTCGTCAATATCCTGGAAGAGAGACTCATCCACTTCGACGTTGTTCCCAGCTGCAGAGGGAGAAACAGAGACCTTTATGAGACGTGGATGTGACACATTTAATCTAAAGGCCATCTGAAGCCTTCACCACTTTGTCCGTCACCATCGCAGGTTCACATGCTATGAAACTAGGACTGAAAACAAACCAATATCTAATAGATCCACTCAAAACTGCTTTTCTGTGATATCCAGGATACGTAGTAACAATATTGTGTAACAGCTTTACAAAAGCAGCAGTTCAAACACTCACTTTCTTCAAGGAACTGGATGTCAGACGTGTCCAGGTTGTGGTCCGTCTCAAACAGCTGTTTACCTGGTGAGGTGCAGATTACATTCTCTTTAGTTCATGTATTTTTATGTATGTATTATAATCAACGTGCCAAGTCGTGAGCCTTTAAGTAAAAACATCACGAGTTTACCGGTGAGTTTGAGCTTCCCTCCCTGCTCCTCCTCTTTCTGTTTTTTACTCCTCAGCTCAGCCATCTCCAGCTCAAACTTGGCTTTCCACGTCAGGAAGTTTTCAATGGTTACCACCGTGCCATGGAACAACACCTGACAAAACACCCACACATCAGTATACACAACGCTGTCACTGACCACTGATTGGTATAATTCTTCAACCTGGACCCTAGTTTGGGACTAAAGGGGACAAATTGAGGGAAAACCCCCTCAAATCAGATCTAATTGCTCAGGGGGTCAATGTAGGCCAGTGTTATCATTACATTAGAGGGGCTGCACGCCCCCCCTCTTGAAGGTGAACTTCCTTTTGCACGCCCACTCCAAAGCTGTAAACCTGGGGTAAACACTAGGGCCACTAATTGGGATTTTTACATTATTATTACTGCATGTAGAATCTTTTATTTTTTCTCAAGTGATTTGGAGAGAGGAGTGCAGAAAACTCAATGTTATCTGAAAGGTTTTCATTGTCGAGGCCGATCATTTTCGATGATTCCGACAATGTGGACGAGATCGAGACTCAAGCGAGCGAAACACTCAAAACCAAACAGGTGTTTCATGCGAAAGAGAAAGAAAAAGGTTTGACTTCTCCCTGTAGGAGTCTTCCCATCATTTTTCCAGACACTACAACAACAATCTGAGTCATCAGAGAAGACGGGAACTTTCAGTAGACGTACAGCGGTGGCATTGCAGCTCACTTAGCGGCTGCTGCCTGCAGAGTTCTCCCTCAAGCGCGCCTGAACCCTTCAGCTCCCAAACAACTAGAAACTACAATTTTGAGATCGGATGGAAATGAAGGATTTGATATTGATATTGATTCATCTCAATGCGGGAGAGTTAGAGGAACGCCACGTGCACTTTTCTTCCCGTTCGTACCTTCTCTGCTTCCTCTGCCTCGGCCTCTTTCTGGCGTTTCTCCTCTTCTCGTCTGTTCTTCATCATATCCACTATTTCGTTGAGTTTGTCCTGAACGGCTGTCACCAGAGTGAAGATCATCACCATGCCCAGGTTCTCTTCCGCCTGTGGAGGACCCACATGAAACACATTGTGGATACGGATCCAGTGGTAACAGACAGATCAGCAGATACTCGACATGTGATTGGAGTCGTTATCCACCATTTATGAATATTATCGATAAGTTAGCAGCAACTAATTAAGTGTTCTCAGATTCTAAATGCATATACACAAAATAAAAGGAACACTTTGAAAACACATCAGACCTCCAAATGTTGGGTATCTATACTGATTTGTACAGTTTAATGTCTTGGACGCCACATCTTTTGAAGGAAAGTTTCAGCCTACAAAGAGCTTCATTTTATAGAAACCCTGAAAATCAAAAGTCAATTGAGGTGAAAATGTGGCGAGTCTTTGATTTTAAAATTCAATTTCTACAACTCAAAATGCTTCTCAATATCTTTTGCGGCCCCCACGTGCTTGTAAACATGCTTGACAGCGACCAGCTCGCTCCTACTGAGACGACGGATGGGCTCCTGTGGGACGTCCTCCCACAGGAGCTCCGGCTGAACCTGCACTCATCTGTGCCATTTAAATGCTGCGGCATTGAAAGTGTGTGCCAAAGGGCCCAAAGTGTGCCAAGAGAATATCCCCCACACCATTACACCAGCAGCAGCAGCCCGAGCCGCTACAGGACGGATCCATGCTTCCATGTTTACGCCAAATTCTGACCCGACCATCTGAACGTCGCAGCTGAAATGGAGACTCATCAGAACCAGCCAAAGCGTTCCCAATCTTCCATTGTCCAGTTCTGGTGAGCCTGTGTGAATTGTAGTCTCAGTGTGCTGTGGTCTTCTGCTGCTGTCGCCCGTCTTCTTCAAGGTTCCCGTGTTGTGGGTTCAGAGATGCTATTCTGCATTCCTTGGTTGTAACGAGTGGATATTTGGGTTACTGTGGCCTTTCTATCCCTTAAGCCAGTCTGCCTGTTCTCATATGACCTCTCGCAGCAACAAGCCATTTTTGTCCACACAGCTGTCGCTCACTGGATATTCTCTCTTTTTGGGACCGTTCTCTGTAAACCCTACAGATGGTTGTGCGTGAGAATCCCAGTAGATCAGCAACATAGGACCGACCCGTCTGGAACCAACAACCACAACACGTTCAAAGTCACTTAAAACCCCTTTCTGCTCGTTTTAAACATCAGCAAGTTGTCTTCACCACGTCTACGTGGCTAAAGGCGTTGAGTTGCTGCACTGTGATTGGCTCATTAGCAACAACAAGTGCACCTGATAAAGTGGCTGGGGAGTGCGTGTGCGTGTGTGTGAATATATATATATATATATTATATATATATTGTTTTTTCTTAAACATTGATGTGATAATAGGACAGCTGTGATGATACACATTTATATCAGGCAGTACAACTGAAGCCATTGTAGTTGTGAAAGTTGTCACTCACAACGCACAACTCAAGTCTAGACAAAAAACCCATAATGTTTCTTCTAGTGACCAGGAACCAGTATCTATTAAGGAGACCATCTTAAGTTCAGATAGACAGACCTGCTGCAGCAGTAAGGCGAGGATGTCCTCCACATCGGTGTCCTCCAGGTTCTCCTGGGAGAAGATCTCCCACTGCGGAGGCTCGTCCGGGTACTTCTCTACATACGTGAACTTAAGCGTTGCTTCCACAACTGCGAGAAGAAAGCAGACAGCTTTTATAATGACGGTTTACCACATTTATACTTAACAAGCGCACAGCTTCAGTGGGTTGTTTACTAGACCGCTTACAAGTCATGCCAACTCTGGCATTATGTTTAACTCACTATGTCTCTACAGGTCGATTAACACCACTATTTTCATCTTTGACAATGGTGAGATTTCATAACATGTCTTGTGCGTACTATGGATTGACATGCATCCAATCACACACACACACACAGACAGACACACAAATCGGCATACTCACTTTCACCATTTTCCCCTGCGTCTGACGTCACAGTGATGGTGAAGCTGGTGGGCTCGTCTGAAAGAACTACAAACGTACCCGGGTTAATGGTCATATATGATAACAATGAAGATTGTACCGGACATCATCACAGAAAACAATGAATGATGTAGCGTTTGGCATTTTACTGCTCAATGCAATAAAAGGCGGCACGTTGTACTCGTTGTGGGGACAGTTGCACATAATTTGAATGGAGTTTGGCGTAACTTGGTTAAACGAGATACTGCGTGTAGGCCCACTGTACCAGCGTGTCAAGTCAGTGCTGCACGTATGACATGTAGCTGCAGTACAGCCACACTAAATACATACAACAGGGCGGACAAGCAAATAGCAGTTCAGCTATTGTTGGATTTATCTTTTGATTCAAATTGCGTTACGAGTCAACTGACGCGCCAGCATGCTAGCTAGCTCACTTTCGACTCTGTCTTAACTGGCATTGGTTAAATTCCCACCTGTAAAAGAGTCGGGGTAGATGGACTCTATCGCTTCAAGTTCGTTCCTCTGCTCTTCGGCGTAGTCTGTCATTTTCGCGAGGCTGCAGGTTATCTGGAAGTTGGACAAATCATCACCGCTACGTTCGAGCTAACGCTGGCTGTGCTGCGTGCTGCACCGTGCTGATCGATGACGTCGGTGTTCGGACCGTTTGGTCTGATACCGGTATAGTTAACGTTACCTACCTGCGTAAAACTGTATTTCAGGGACAGGCTATTGTTTGAGCTTTTATTTACACCAGATGTGGGTTTATTAAGCCGCTTGTGTTATGTTCAGGGATTCGTTCCCCGCCTCAGTGACAACGACTGAACCTGTCGTTTTGGATCCATTGGTGAGGTCTGCGAGCGCACGCGCAGACAGCTCAACAGAGCCACCCGGTGGAGAAGGTCAGAACTACAAGAGCCAATTAGTCTGGTAAATAGTTACTGGTTCATCCATAGAACCACTTGGGCCTGGAGGAAATGTTTCTACATAGGGCTGATCAATTTCATCAAACATCCCAGAATGATTTAATGCAACAAAATGAAAGTATCAAAAATGAATAACTACTTAAATATTTACTTTTTTGTGTCGCCCTCACAGGTAATTCAGTACAATAGAACATCCATCCATCCATCTTCAAACCCCTTATCCTTCCCACAGGGGCGCAGGGGCGCTGCAGTCAATCCCAGCTAACTTTGGGTGAGAGACGGGGCCCTGGATTGATCCCCAAAACTGGTAGTTTAAACGTATTAACCAGTCATGTGTCTTAGTTTAATGCGAAAAAGTGATTATTGAAGCACTTTTTGCAATTCATTAATTCCATATATCAAAAATTTCATATCATATCATTTTCATTCATTGTAAATGTATTTGAGCTTATCTGACTGCCTACATCTCTTCATTGTATTGACAGCACATGTTAATGAAAAGGCCGATTAATTGAATCTACAAATCCAAACCGCAGTAGTGTGTGGCGCCTTTAAACTAAAGCATGTTATTCAAAGATGAAAATTAATCCACATGTGCCACACAACATTTTTACCGATAACTGTCAAGCATTTTCTCAGACATTTCAGCTTTGGAAAGGAAATAGTCCCCCGACATTCATCAAAATGTGGTATAAACAATCCCTCTTTCAGTGTATTTTGTAAAACGAAAAACAAGATGTATGAATAAAGACTCCACTATCCAACAGTATTCATAATCACGATATTAGTTAGCCTGTTTGCCTCGAGACAAAACGACAAAATCTTTTCAGTAACTCATATCTTACCAGCTGTGTTACATTGCAAACCTTCTGTTCAGAGCCGTAATTTATGTAAATACGTAATGAATTTAGAAAAGAGCCTTGGTGGATGTCATGGATACGGATGATGTGACGTTGCTGCAGTGTCTGAGAGAACGCATTGAATTACGGAAGCTGGTGAAACACATCAATATTTCAGCTCTATGAGTGCTGATGATTTATTCAGAGGGGCAGTAAGACAAAGCGGAATATTGAGGGGTAATTGGTAAATATCAACACATGTGGATTTCATACTTCACTTTGGGGATATTTTGACGTAGCAGTTTGCTATAACGCGACCAGGAGACTCTCGCTCCACAGAGCCAGGGCCAGGCTGAGCTTGGCCTCCTGCGTGGGCAGCTGCAGCTGGTCCACGGCCAGCGGCTGCACCTGTTGGAGCTGCCGCAGCGCCTGGAGGTGGGACAGAGGGAACTGCAGGCCCTGCAGAGACAAAGACAACGTGGGACATTCTCTCTCAGCTGTGGTTCCCATTCACCAGACTGTGGTCACTGCCGCATTCAGAGTCTCTCTCTCAATGTTCCCTGACTTTCCTACCCTGCGTGTGAGACTGAGGCCCGAGTCCATCAGCTTCAACTGAAGACGAACATCTTTTGAAAAAAATCAGTGCAATTAAAATCTTAATTATACATTGACTGAATAATTGATTCAAAGTCTATAAAGTACCCTATTTAAAAAGATATATATGTATTTTCTCACTCAGTCAAAAACAAAAGGCCAAGCATATCCATAACTGGGACTGAAGAGCTGGACGCTTCCAAACCTCCTTCCTAACGTTGACGTTCAAATTATTAATATTTGAAATAACTATTAGCTGTGATTGTCCACCTTCTCTTCCTTCATTTCAAAATCAATGCAAAATATTCTTCATCTATGCAGATTTGTTGAGGTTGAGCCTTTTAGAAACTACATCTTCTGGGTCTCCCTCGGAGCACAAGGCTTTATTACCGGAGCGTCCCAGCAGCAATCCGACATGTACATATCGGGCGAGATGGTGAAGATGAGTAGCATAGAGGTGGAATCGATGATATCGATAGGCCGAGTGAGGCAGGATGAAGAGCAGACGCAGACCATCACAGCTGAACATCAGTTACCACTGTAGAGGTTTGTACAGTCTCTCCGTGGCGTTTTCATGGCGCCTTCACTCGAAGCAGCAGCACCTCAACGAGGAGACCGCCTTCAGCGACTTACCCTGGAGATGTCCTGTTCCTCCTCTTCATCACAACTGCCCCCCATCATGTGGTTCTCCCTCTGGTTCTTCAAAGAGTGCAGGACAAAGACGACCAGCTGTGTGGCCTCATCCTAAAACACACACACACACACAGCTGAGCAGAGCCTTTCTCTGACTTCTTTCCCCCGTGTAGCTGGACATCTCCAACGAACTCACCGTTTTCTCGTGGCTGGGCTCCACTGTGATCACCATGTGATCTTTAAACCTCAAACACACCATATCCTCCAAGGCAGGAATCTTCCCAGCTGTAACGCACAAACGCACACAGTCAGATGCACCAAACAGCACAGTGAATTCCCTTCAATGTGGACGTAGTCACATCGCATACAAATAAGCACAAAGTCGCTCACCTGGTTCGAGCAGCTGCTGCCGGCTGCACGGGGGCAGTCTGTTCATGATGAAGTCTCTCTTCATGTGGGTGGAGCGGACTTCCTGCGTCCCGTTTTCCAACCGGTCGGCCAGCGCTCTGAGGCCGGCGGACAGCGTCCTGCTGCTGTCCAGGTTGTCACTGTCCCCCTACAAACCGGACAAGGTCCATGGTAATGCTGGTTGCTGAAGAGACTGAATTTGCAATTTCATTTATTTTGTATGGCTCAAAATGACAAATTTGCCGTTTGAAAGAGCGGCTGTGTCCTCTACCTGGATAGACAGAACCATGTAAACGGAGTATTGTGCTTGATTAAATCTGATTCAAATGTATTAAAAATAAAGAACAAATAAAACATGTGCATAACTATTCACAGCCTTTGCACAATACTGAAGCACCTTCGGCAGCAATAAAAGTCTTCTCGACTAGGAGGTTTCTGGGCAGTTTCTCCATTCTTCTTTGCAGAACCTCTCAGGTTCCAGACGGGGAGCGTCTGTGCGCGGCTACTTTCAGATCTCTCCAGAGATTTCCAGTCGGGTTCAAGTCAGGGCTCCGCTGGGTCGTTCACAGAGTTGTTACTTCTGTGTTGTCTCGGCTGTGTGCTTCGGGGTCGTTGTCCTGTTCAAAGATGAACAGTCTGAGGTCCAGAGCGCTCTGCAGCAGGTTTTCATCGAGCAAGTCTCTGTACATTGCTGCATTCCTCTTTCCCTCAATCCCGACTCGTCTCCCAGTTCCTCCCGCTGGAAAACGCCCCACAGCATGATGCTGCCACCACCATGCTTCACTAATGCTAATGAGCGGTGCCTGGGTTTCTGCAGACATGACATTTGGCATTTAGGTCAAAGAGTTCAATCTTTGCTTCATCATACCAGAGGATTTTGGTTCTCGTTGTCCGAGAGTCCTTCAGGTGCCTTTCGGCAGGCGGTCCGTCATGCGATTTGTACCGAGTGGCTTCCACTCTACCTCCCAGGCCTGACTTGTGGAGTGCTGCAGAGACGGTTGTCCTTCTGGAAGCTTCTCCTCTCTTCATAGAGCGGGTCGCTCACTCTGACAGAACCTCTGTCAGTGACCATCGGGTTCCTGGTCACCTCCCTGAGGCCCTTCTCCCCCGATCGCTCTGGCTGGCTGGGCGACCAACTCTAGGAGAGTCCTGGTGGTTCCAAACTTCTTCCACTTCCGGATGATGGAGGCCACTGTGCTCATTGGGACTTTCAATGCTGCAGAAATCTTTCTGTACCCTTCACCAGATCTGTGCCTCGATGAGATTCTCTCTGAGGTCTACAGACAATTCCTTGGACTTCATGGCTTTGTTTGTGCTCTAACACGCACCCGTGGGACCTGATATTAACCGTGTGCCTTTCTGAATCACGTCAAAGTGAAGTGCTGTGAATGCACTGTACATCTCCTTTCTAGTCTTCCAACCAATCAAAGGTCTTTAACACTACACGCTCATACCAGTGTATGAATGAGTGAATGATGACGTGTAGCCTTAAAGACCTTTGACAAGTGGTCCATACACAGTGTCATCAGGAGCAGTGTGAACTTCATAGTGGATTAACAATGATAATAAAGGTTGCCATGTGACTCCTCCTTATAATGACAGTAGCAGTGGTCCAAACAAAGAGTCCTACCAGCAGGAGGCCTCTGGGCATTCCCTCTCTCAGGCTCACTGCAGTCTTGCTGTGGTCGCAGAGCAAGTTCGGAAATATGTCCAACAGCAAATCCCCCCATGACCTGAGGGAGGGACAGGTAGAGCGGACAGATCAGCCCCCGACAGATTCGGATTCATTCTACGTGTACAGAACCCAGCGGTCCAGGCAGCGAGGAGGGCACAAGAAGTCACGTGGAGTTTCTCTGCATGAGTAACGGTGTTACGGTAACTCTGCCAGAAATAATGACCTGGTTATGATCCATATTCTGTTGACTTTAGAGTCTCTGTTGTATTGATCGTCGTTGTTTTATTCAAGCAGACCATATTATTTTATACTAAGAATATTATACTACTTTTCCCGGTATTCAGACCAAATCTAGTACACCTAACTTAAAGACTAAAAATGAATACTTGGGAGTCTGAGCTTAACCTGCATAGCCAAAAGCCTATTTTTAGGCTTTTCCTCCTGTTTTATGTGCAGAAGCAGATTAGTGAACAGAAGCCAGGTGACCTCCACTCAGTGCTGATCGGACGCGGCGTCACAGTGCGTGCTACGTGTAAAAGGAGCGCTCATACATTCTCTGGTAGGTGCTGAGAGTCACGTGGGTGGAGTGGTCCACTCCTGCTGGAGTGCTGGCTTGATGGATGGTTCCTCTGGGAAAGTACAGAAGGTCTCCTGCCTGAGAAGGAAGGAGACGATCTTACTCTTACAGGAAACACATTTCAGAAGTTTCAGTAAACGGCTTTGTGTATGAATATCTATTGATCTGTACAGATGTGGTCAGGTCGCTGCACCTTGAGCACAATGTCATGTGTCGGGCTGCCGATCTTCTCCTCGGACTCCACGCTGTACTCAGATGCCAGAGGAACAGTGGGAGTGTAGAGGAGCCAACGTTTCTGCCCCTCCAGCTGCAGGACAAAGACCTGGGCAAAGAGCGCCACGAAACACAAAAAATATACATCCACCCACCAAAAGCATGGGTGTGTATTGTGTGAAATAAGATCTGCTCTACTGCCAAATATGAATCTGAAGAGTCTGTACCTCGACATCGTCGTAGTGAGCCGGGAGGCCCTGCGACTCCTGTGGTGTGATGTAGACATTAGAGCCCACCAACCCCCCGAAGAAACACTCCAGCTTCTCCTGGATCCTCCACAGCTCATCCTGACCACACACACGCAGAGACAACTCCATTCCACGTTCATTTTATATTACATCCCATGTATTGGGAAAACATAGGCGACCCTTGATCATTACCGAATCACAACGGTGCATTTGAGGTCCAAATTATGTGGGAATTTGTTATTCTTTGGACTAAGTGGTCCGATTAAGGATGATCTTCCAATAGCGCTAATCCAACAGTCACCTACTGCTTGTTATCGGTTGCATTATTATTATTATTATCATCATAGTGAACAGCCGCTCCTCTCTCACCTTGAACCTCTGCGGCTGGTGGAACTGGATGGTGGCCTTGTTCTGCGTGAAGCTTTTATTCAGAACGCTGCTCTTAACTCGCCCCGGCTTGTTGAGCACTTTCTTCTTGCCGTTGATGCAGCGCACGACGTTGACGTCCCTGTAGTACTCCAGATCCTCGGCGCACAGGCCGGGCAGGTCGGACAGCTGGAACAGAGACCGGTAGTAGGAGGCGGTGTCGTGATCGGTCCTCTGCAGGTGGAGGGGTTTCTTCTCCCAGTACTCGCTGAAGAACTGCTCCGCCCCCATGGGCTGGATGAGGCTCTGGAACAGGCTGGCGGGGCTTTCGAAGCACAGGGGGGATTGGGTGTCCATCACCTTGCTCTGTTTGGGGGGGAGCTGCTCGGCGTCAGTGCTCGGCCTCTTTACAGTCTTCGCTTTGCTTTTTTTTGGCATTTTAATCTGAAGAATTAAAACAAAATTCCAAGAATATCATCATGGGTGAGATGCTGAAATCAGGCACGGGACGCACCATTTAGCTACTAAAGGCCACAGTGTATCAGGGTGTGATGAATTCCTCTGAGAAATAAACTGTGCTCCCAATAAAACAGCTTCTATTTCCACCAGGGCTCGAACAGGGAATCATGACTTCAATCTTACGGGTCGACTCCATCTGCATTGTTTTACAGGGTTTTCTACTGGAAATACCTCCTCAGCTGCAAAAAAACATTAACATAGGGGACCGCAAGCTAATCGAAGGTCAGGAATAAGAAGAGCCCAACTGTACTGTGGTTCTTATATTAATCATATTATGAGGCAAACCTCGTCTCTATTGATGTGCAGCTCTCAGCACGTCGCAGTTCGTTCATATATGTAGAATCAAACATGTTTGTGTTTGCATTTAACGACTCGACCCTCTCACCTCTCGAACAGCAGCTCAGACGTGACGGAACTCCACGTGAAGCGAGTTGTGTGTTTCACTAAATATGTCCGACTAGAAACTCGGTCCCAGCACGTGGATCCCCATGCGACCGTCGGGGGGCGCTGTTCAGCACAAGTCCCCCGAATGTCTGCTGCGTCTTTTTGTGCCATTTACAGCTTTGATGAGATTAGTGACCATTGATTGATTGATTGATTTTTCGCGCTATCTCCATGTCTTATACGACTTAGAGGGCTGTTGTGGTATTTATATTGGTCAATTCACAAAACTGGAAGTTCTTTGTGTGTGTGTTATATCCGATTGATTTCTTCACCAGTAACATATGCACTGATTTTCACACTCACTCATAAAAGGATTCCCATACACCCCCACCGAAGAAACGCGTACAGATAGACAACGTAGTTATTACACGTTTTATCATGTGTGTTCCATTTTTAGAGTAAAGGCCTAGAAACAACAGCCTCAGGATGCAACAGTCTCTTTCTTCAGATTGGATCTAAAAGGTGTCTGTATAATGCAGGTGACACAACCTTATCATAAAGCCTTATATACATTATACTGTGTATTATTGTGATTATAAACCATTACAGACATTAACTTTATATAAAGTGTGTATTAACTCTTGGTTAGTGGACACTAACAACTTAACTGCAAAGGATGATGGACTTTATTCAAGAACAGAGCGTCTCTGCATCCTTCAGACTTTCACTAATCTGCCGGTGATGTGACTGATACAGGGGGGCTCTCAGTCCGGGACATGTGCAGCAGGAGTTAGAGGAGAATGTCCCGGATGTGGAGGAGGAAGGAGCATCTACCTCTAGTTCAGACCATCAGGAGGAAGAAGAGCTCTCTCTGGTCCATGAAGTTCTGCGTCACAGTTATAGAAAAAGATGGTGTAAGCTGAAACCAAACAGAAAGACCACAGACAGATGAGGCCGCGGTGGAGGTAGATGGAGGAGGCCTCAGGTGGAGCTTCAGTTGTCTAACAGAGTCTTTGGGTGGAGGTCATGTCTACAGGTGGGGCTTCGGGCAGAAGGTCTCAGCGAGGATCTGCAGGTGGAGGCAGCAGGGATGGCTGTAGGTGGAGATTAAGTTAGTTTAGAGGCGGCACCTGTGTGTGCTAACAGAGGTTGTAGGTGGAGGTTTTGAGCGCCAAAAGCGGCATGTAGAGGGGGCACCTCCAGGTGGAGGTGGATGGTTTGTTCTTGAGAAAAGCGCAATCAGAATGTGTTGTATTTTTCACACAATGCACACAGTCAGCTTTACAAATGTTTACATTTAGAACAGAACCAGGCTCTCATTTTTGAAGTGGTTCTGTTACTGGAGGTTGAACAGGACACGGAGACGGCGGAGACGGTGAAGGGAAAATAGTCTGAGTCACAGGTTGCAACAAATAAACAGCACAAGAAAATGCTCTTAGTGAATAAAGGAGCTAAAGGGCGTCTCCCCCCCATGAAAACACATTCTCAATTACGTTTAACCCGAAACGTATTTCCTCCCCGATTCAGGGTTGGGTGTCGAGATGAGCCCAGGTGTCGGGTGATAGAAGCCGCGCCCTTCACACACACACACACACACACACACACACACACACACACACGCACGCACACACACACACAGAAGAACAGGGGAGGAGACACGAGGAAACACAAGAAAAGGAACCGGTCACAGCAGAACTGTGACTGGTTCCTTGTAGATTTTGATTAAGACACAGACATATAAGATAAGCACAAAGCTTGTGGTGTCTTCCTATAGTTTAGTCATAATGTGTCTCTTTGTCATAGATTTTCGATGTATCTTGAATGTATCTTGGGTTTTGCAATATTGCAAAACGTCTCCATTCAAAGAGTCAGGGGGAGGATTTTATTTCAGATTAATTATCAGTTTAATTTGCAAATCATCATACCTCGGGGCAATCCTTGCCCTCAGTAAAAAAAACCAGACCATCTGGCTGTTCGTCCTCTAATGAAAAGCGAGGTTTTCCAATTGTGGGTGTAACGTTTGACCCCCACCTCTCTGAGTGGCTGACGTAGCGTAGTTCAGCTACCGCTCAAGTTTCAACTTGCCTGAGAAATGTCGGTTAAAAGGCAAAACCAGAACCAGTGGCTTGTAGCAATGTATAACACTCCTCATTGCCCTCATCAACAAACAAAACTAAAACAAACAAACAAATTACTTTTTTTTTTTTTTACCAATTCTCAAAAAAAAGTTTTTCGCAGAAATGGATAACAGTTTTCAAAATATCATACATGATAAGAATGTTTCTACAGTAGCTGAGAACAAACAAACACAACACTTTTTTGTGTTTTCATGTGACCAGATGACAACCAAAGTTGGGTGGGGTGGGGGTGAGCCGCGTATTCAGTTGTTGTCTACAACAGATGGTACGATTCCTATTGTTAAAACCGTTAAAAGCTTTTCAATCCCATACAGACAAAGTTTTGAAGTTGAATAAAAAGTCTTACCTCATCATGTTTTGTGAATGTTCTTGTGCTGCCAAGGTAAACCGTTTGGCTGTTCATTGTCATCATCTCTTGCAAAGGAACCAACCAAACTAATGGAGAATGTGAAGATTTTCTTCTGAAACACAAACAGTGGTATGGTCCTGTCTCTCCCGTTGCAGCGCTCATTAAAAAAGCTCTGGGAAGACCCGCTAGTTTGAGCATGTTTGACATAATGCAATAAGGAGGATCCAAATACAGAACAAAACGCACTCCACCCATGAAGGAGGAAGAGCACACAGACTAAATACACGAGGGCCTGATCAACTAGTGAAAAACAGGAGTGAATCAACTAAACAACTGCCTCAATTCTCTCATATTACTCAAAAAGAAGGAGACACTTGATGCGTAATAAATTTATTTTTTTCCACATTTGAATTCATTTTTCATCACGTAAAAACAAGGTCTCTGTGTCTTCAGTTTAGTGACTGCAGCTTCTTGAACTAAATGAGTTAGTTAATGAATTACGGCGTGTTAGTGGCAAGACGCCTAAATACATGCAGTCTTACAGAGTGCCAGTGTGTATAAAATAGTGGTGTTTTTGTCCTTCATTAGTTCATTAGTTCATGTGCTTAGAGAAAGATGTACCATTGTACTCGTGTGAGTAACATTCTGAACGGCTGGCTCTGTAAGGACACAAAGCTCGCCCTCTCTCAGCGCATCTCTATTCCATGCTCCGAGTCCAATACGGGGATCTTCTCAACGTCCCGGTGTGTCTTCTCCACGTACTGCTGCAGGGTGCTGTAACACTGCTCGCTCCTGGAGAAGGTGTAGTGTGCCGAGATCTCCTCCCACGCCTTGTGGCTGGGGAAAGGGAACTCCTCGGGGTCCTTGTTCTCAAAGAAGCTCTGCAGGTTCCTCTCGGCCAGCTTGGTGGCGTAGTCCAGCGCGAAGCTGTCGAAGCGCTCCTTCTCTTTCTCCACGTAGCGCTTCCAGAACGTGAGCTGCAGGTAGCTGACTTTGGAGCGGCAGTTTGTGCAGCAGGTGCCGACGAGGCCCCCGAAGGCAGCCAAGATGATGATGCACCAGCCCAGGATCTGCAGGCATGCAGGTTAATACTTGGACTTAAACTAAAATTTGTGGAAATAAAAACAAATGACTTTTTCAAAAGTAAAATATGTGAACCATCGCACTTCTCTAACTGTGGGTGGAGATGCTGAGATGGGGGCGGTATATATTCTACTTAACTGCATGGGGGAGCCTGCATCTGGATCGGATGTTTTTGTGGTCTACACAGCTCACACAAAATCCTTTTCTCATTTCACAGTTTGCAATAAGCATTGAAAGCAGTACTATTGATCACTTCGAGGGTACTGTTCTTTAAAACAATACCCAGCCCTTTGTCATATCCTTTTTTACATAGTATGGAAGAAACTCCAAAAACCCTCGATCCTACATTTCCCAAGATTCCACTGGATAGCATCTTTCATCAGATCCTCCTCGCCTGATTAACATGGTGACCTTTTGAACTCCGTGGCTCCCTAATTGGGTCAAATTTGTGCCTCCCTCCTCAAGCTGAAATAGACCATCAGGGTTATTTTACGGTTACGTGAAACAGCTCCTCCAGATGCACAATACATACGTCCCTTAACAGGAGCCTCTCTTACCTGTGACTGGGCCCTGAACATCAGCAGCAGCTCCATGCGCTCATCTTTGGACAGTGTGGACCGGTCACAGGGCACACGGGCGAGCTCCTCCCGACACTTCATGGTCTTGTTTTTACAGAACAGATCCACCACCACGTTTTCGTCGAGGCCGCTGACGGCGCACTCGTAAAAGGTCCCGTTGAGCAGGGCCACCGAGAGCCACATCACAGGGGCCACGCAGGCGCCCGTGAAGATGCTCGCGAACGCCCTGAGGCAGCCGAAGCAGTTCCCCCGGGGGCACAGCTTCATGGGATTGAGGCAGCATCCGGTGTAGAGCCTCCACAGCCGGCCGTTGAAGAAGAGGCCCAGAACCAGCAGCACCGCCGCCGGGCCCAGCAGGAAAGTCAGCCCGTAGGCAAAGTTCTGATCGTGGTTGCACGGGCAGGAAAAGGAAACCATAGAGAAGACTCGCTCCCCGCCTATTGTGAGGAGAGCCATGAAGCTGTAGCCGATGGTGGCCTTCTGGTTCATGAAGAAACGCAGGACGGTCTGGAAGCTATCCATGGTGCCGGCGGGGACGTTTTGGACACAATGCCACGAGTGAAGAGGTTGAGCGTCTGCAGTGATTTCCTGTCCTGCCCTCTTCTTCTGCGGAGGACAAAACCCTGTCTGTGCCCCTCCCTTTGGCCGCCTGTCTTCCCTTTAGGCTCCTCCTCTATCAATCTGACACTCGCTCACACCGAGCGCCTCTTTCTCTACTCCTACTCTAAAGGGAGAACATCCAACGGTAAAGCAGTTACAGCTTCACCACTTCCGTTTCTCTGTTTCCTTACGTTTCTCTGTCCACATTAACCCCCCCTTCCCCTTTACAAGCTTCCTCCTGCAGCTCTCACTGTGTTGAGGCAATCGCTAAACCAAAACCAATGCTGCTGGTCTGGTTTTTTAAAAGTACTTGCTTTGAATGCACCCTGAAACTAGTACATGCCGGCAAAACAAACAGCAAACACAAAGACACCAAACGGGCGGAGACAATGTCATGCTTCGGGTTCTATTCACTTTTATACGGAGCAGGTTGCGGGTTAATCAACATAAAACGAGTAGGACAACTGGATTTGTTTCTCTTTTTGCACACAGTCATTAAACACAACAAAGTCTCAGCAAAGAGAACATTTTCAGTTCCTCATCTGGAATGTCGGAATGTGCAAAAAAGGGGGGAAAAAAACCTGCAGGCACAAAAAAATCCATGAAGAACGAGAGCCTTCGTTCAACGTTTTGAAACGTTGCCATAGATACAATTGTCTGCAGAGAGGCAGAACGCATCAGCAGCAGAGTGGGCCGAGGAAGTGATCACATGCTCTTGGGTTGTTGTTTTCTCTCTGTTCCATTCCCATAAGAGCGACTACTCTGACAGCATTAAACAGGAAATGGTTAAGATTCTGCATCTGCTGCTTCTACGGCAACGCCATCAGCAAGGTCATCACAAATAAATGAAAAGGCAAAACCAGATCTGAGTCCCGCATAAGGTTGCCTGAGTCTGAGCTAAACCAGTTTCAAAGTGAAACTTGAATTTTATTTGGTCTGATTTGGTGCAGAATTCAACCTGCAAGCATTAAAATAACGACCGCCAACCTCACTGACAAAATATATTCTGATATCTTCAGACTGGTATAACCAGTTAAAGGTTCCTCATAGTAACTTTAATTTTATTGCACGTGTCCTGTACAGGAAGTGGTGAAGTTGACCCATTTCCTGATGAAACTTTGCATAGAAATGAATTGTGGGCAGATATTGCTGGCATGAATCAGTTTTACCATCTGCCTCTCTGTTGCTGCTGTTTGTTTGAAATCACCGCTCTGCTTTTATTCGCATTGCCAACTGCTTTGTCTTGTCATCCTTTGTATCATTATATTGCTAAAAGAACGGAGAGTTTTTTGTTTCACACACTGCGTGTCCTAATTGTCATCGACAATTTCGGTTTCAGGTGCACACGGTTAAAATATGTATGCCCTGCCTGGGATAACTCCTGGCGATCTCTCAACCTTAACTGCCGCCATCATCCAGTCAGGATCAGTGCAATGCTTAAATCGGCCTCCCGAGTGCTCACAAGATTGTCGGCTCCCTGGATGGTCGGCAAATCCAGCGCCCATCCAACCCAGACGATCCTCTGCTGCCCGGGAGGCCGCGTCACAGCGCCATCCTGCCTTCGTCTACAAAACCCAGAACAGCCGGGGGGTTGTCGGCGGGCTCGTTGGAAAGGATGGAGGCCATCCTCATCATAGCGCTGTCGTTCCCCTGACCGCTCTCCACGTACCGGTGCAGGGTGCTGTAGAATTGGTCTCTGGTGCGGAACTTGTAGAGGCTGGAGATCTTCTCCCAATCCTTGCTGGAAGGGGTGACGATGTCTTTGGGCGGGGTCCGGCCGAAGAAGCTCTTCAGGTTCCTCTCGGCGAGCTCTTTGGCGTGCTCGGCGCTGTACAAATCGATCAGGCTGCTCTCCTCCTGAATGTACGCTCCCCAGAACTTGAGCTGCTGGTAGCTGATGGGGGAGGTGCACCGAGCCAGGCAGTTGAGCAGAAGGTTGGACAACATGACGGAGGCGATGAGCAGCCAGCCCAGGATCTGTGGTCACACACGGCACAGACTGAGAATCAAAGGGACGGTTTGGTCGGTTTGTAGTGAGTCATCATCTACTTATTTCCTACAGAAGATTGCAAGTTTGGAGAAACAGATTGAAGGCCCTTTACGGCGGAAACTCATGCCGCCCTCTTAAGCTGCGCTTATTTTACCTCGCAGAGCAGCAGAGTTGTTGTCCGCTGCCTGAAGTCGTTGAGTCCGTTCCTCTTTTTTGGCAAACTACTGTGTGACTTTGGAGAGAAGGTTTTGAACCCTTCCACATTATTTTACTCTTGTCTGTTTCTCCAAACTGCAGTTGGTAGTATACAGTGCCTTGCGAAAGTATTGGGCCCCCTTGAACTTTTCGACCTTTTGCCACATTTCAGGCTTCAAACATAAAGATATAAAACTGTAATTTTTTGTGAATAATCAACAACAAGTGGGACACAATCATGAAGTGGAACGAAATTTATTGGATATTTCAAACTTTTTTAACAAATAAAAAACTGAAAAATTGGGCGTGCAAAATTATTCAGCCCCTTTACTTTCAGTGCAGCAAACTCTGTCCAGATGTTCAGTGAGGATCTCTGAATGGTCCAATATTGACCTAAATGACTAATGGTGATAAATAGAATCCACCTAGTCTCCGTATAAATGCACCTGCTCTGTGATAGTCTCAGAGGTCTGTTTAAAGCGCAGAGCGCATCATGAAGAACAAGGAACACACCAGGCAGGTCCGAGATACTGTTGTGGAGAAGTTTAAAGCCGGATTTGGATACAAAAAGATTTCCCAAGCTTTAAACATCCCAAGGAGCACTGTGCAAGCAATAATATTGAAATGGAAGGAGTATCAGACCACTGCAAATCTACAAAGACCCGGCCGTCCGTCTAAACTTTCAGCTCAAACAAGGAGAAGACTGATCAGAGATGCAGCCAAGAGGCCCGTGATCACTCTGGATGAACTGCAGACATCTACAGCTGAGGTGGGAAAGTCTGTCCACAGGACAACAATCAGTTGAATACTGCACAAATCTGGCCTTTATGGAAGAGTGGCAAGAAGAAAGCCATTTCTTAAAGATATCCATAAAAAGTGTTGTTTAAAGTTTGCCACAAGCCACTTGGGAGACACAAACATGTGGAACCAGGTGCTCTGGTCAGATGAAACCAAAATCGAACTTTTTAGCAACAATGCAAAACGTTATGTTTGGCGTAAAAGCAACACAGCTCATCACCCTGAACACACCATCCCCACCGTCAAACATGGTGGTGGCATCATGGTTTGGGCCTGCTTTTCTTCAGCAGGGACAGGGAAGATGGTTAAAATTGATGGGAAGATGCACGGAGCCAAATACAGGACCATTCTGGAAGAAAACCTGATGGAATCTGCAAGAGACCTGAGACTGGGACGGAGATTTGTCTTCCAGACCTGAATCCAATCGAGAATCTGTGGAAAGAACTGAAAACTGCTGTTCACAAACGCTCTCCATCCAACCTCACTGAGCTCGAGCTGTTTTGAAAGGAGAAATGGGCAAAAATTTCAGTCTCTCGATGTGCAAAACTGATAGAGATATACCCCAAGCAACTTACAGCTGTAATCGCAGCAAAAGGTGGCGCTACAAAGTATTAACTTAAGGGGGCTGAATAATTTTGCACGCCCAATTTTTCAGTTTTTTATTTGTTAAAATTTGTTTGAAATAAATTTCGTTCCACTTCATGATTGTGTCCCACTTGTTGTTGATTCTTCACAAAAAATTACAGTTTTATGTCTTTATGTTTGAAGCCTGAAATGTGGCAAAAGGTCGAAAAGTTCAAGGGGGCCGAATACTTTCGCAAGGCACTGTACTGACATTTGGAAAGACATTTAAACTATCCCTTTTAATTTGAAAAAGGATAAATAACAACATTTTACACAACTTTACACAATAATGAATTCGACTGGCATTTTAACAGCTTATGCACAGAAAAACAAAGAGTGCAATCTTTGCACTTAAACTTTAAAAAGGAACTTTTTACTAATTCTAGTCTACTAATGATATTAATGTGCTGTATTTTCAGTTAAGTCCAAATTTGTATCCGTTTTTAGCCAATACTTTTAATATCTGAAAAGATTACATCTAGATTAGATTAGGTTAGAAACCTTCTGTTTGATAATTTATCTAAGTCAGCACTAAGATTTAGAACCGCGGTGATATACAACCTAAAATATAACAACGCAATATCATCTTATCATTATGATCCACCCTGCTAAGAAAAGTGTCAGCATTTTTAGCCACTTTTAAATGTTGTTTGTTGATCTGATCACAAAGAATCCAGCTGGCCTCACTGACCTGAGACTGCGCTCTCAGTGCGAGCAGAACATCGTCCCTGACGACCTTCGGCACGTCGCTGCCCGTCCCGCAGGGGAACCTGTGCAGCTGCTGCCGGCACGAAACCCGCGAGCTCTCCGCCCCGCACAGGAGTCCCTCGAACGCGCTCACGTTGGTCCCGGTCATCGCGCACTCGTAGTAATTCCCGTTGAGGAGCGCCACCGCGATCCAGCTGGAGGGCGCCACCAGCGCCACGGAGCTGATCTGGAAGAGCGCGGCGGCGGTGCCGGTCAGAGACTTCCAGCGGGAACGCGCGGAGCGGCGGCGGCTGCACACGCCGGTCAGCAGCTTCCACGTCTTCTTGCTCAGGATGTAGCCGAGCAGCAGCAGCGCCAGGGCGGGCACGAGCAGGAACACCATCCCGTAGAGGAAGTTCAGGTCGCTGCAGGGACAATTGAAGACCGCCGAGGAGAAGACCTGCTCCCCTCCCGCCGTGAGCAGCGCCACCAAGCCGAAGCCGAGGTTGGTCTGTTTGTTGGCAAAGTCCAGAACAGTTCTGAACTTGTCCATCTCTGAAGGCCGTGTGCCGGAGCGACAGGTACTCTCACTCTCTGTTTGTTGTCACCCCAGCACCACGCACACACCTTAGGGGTGGGGGGGTGGGGGGGGGGGAACAGGTTGCGCATTGCACGTTGCCCAATATATTCGCTCTCAGCAGGGTGTCGCCCGATGATTTGACTGGTCCGGCCCGCGTGACATCAAAGTGCACAGTATGTGCCCCCTACCTAAAATGAGTTTGACACCCCTGCGCTATAACGAGAGCGAATTCATAGTGTAATGTTTAGTCGTCAAGTCTTAAATGTAGACTGAACATTTAACATGTAACATTCATATGTAACATTTATATTTAACATTTACATGAAACACATATACTATTTATAGTATATATGTATATATACATGTATGTATATATACTATATATACAACTTTTTGTTACTGCCAAACATTATCCTTGGAAAAGTTATAGCATGAATTTACATGAATTTCGCTCTAAATGTTTGAAAAAGTGACATATAAAATATTGTTGTGCTTTTTCCCTCATATGATAATGCTAAATGTACCAAAACCGTGCAGGATATTAGAACGTGCTTTTACAAACGGCACCCTATAATTTAGATCCACTTTGTATAACTCAAGCAACGGGGGTTGTAAATGTACAGAAGTTGAAGAAAAGCCATTATTATGAAAATTCTCCTTTGAAGTTACAAATCAAAAGTACATCTATAACCACACCCGTACATGTATAATATACAGAACAGTTGCTTGTATACACACATTTTATTTCATTTTAGTTGTATTGTTTCTATCTAATACCTATGCATTAATCCATGTGGACGGCTTGTACTCCGCTGTCCTATTTCTTATTTACTTGTATTTGTCCAGCTTTACTGTCCCTCGCAGTTATTCCTGCCCGTGCAGCGTCCGTGGCCAATAACTCATTCTGATCGATATCGTGTATCCTCCTGACACCTATGGGGCAGCAGGGGGCAGCAGGGAGCAGCGTGACCACATCAGCGCTGACAACTGTCACCGAACGACGAAGAAGAATCTGTTTAGAGCGGACCAGACAGATTTCGGCTACCCATCTTCTGTGTGAAACACTGGAGATTAGCTATTCACGTATCAGTTTTTTAATTTTTCATCCGCCGGTGAACTGGCTTTAATCTAGTTTAATCTTAACTACAAACCTAGGATTTCTAACTGTCCTTGAAAAGGCCCCAGAAATGGCAGAAAATACAGGTGAGTAGGTTAGCTAGTGCTAGCTGGATAGCTATTTATGATCAGTTGAGTTAGCATTAACCCCTTAAACCGACGCACTTTTTAATGGAGTCTCTCACATTTAAAACTGGTCATATAATTTGAAGGGCATCACTGGTGAAGCTCAGTTGTTCATTGACTTGCGTTGTGCCCTTTAGCCTCATGCTAACCACCGTTATTGAGTTAACCCTCTCAAAGCGCCTATCCCAGTTATCGTTAGCCTAGCCGAGCACCATGTTGCCTTTGCCTGCAGACACGTTTAGGCTAAACTTCATTTACACATGTCTCATTGAAATATCTTTCTTACCGGCCAAGCAGCATCAAAGTTCCGATCCTGTTTTGATCACTTCGGCGGGAACAGAATCCACCGGGTGGAAAGAGTATGTAGCTTCATCCCAGATGCTTCTGCCAAGAGGCTAACCAACATGTTAGCATAACACGCTACCAGTCAACGTTATCACGGTCAGCCAGTTCCCCGGCTGAGATTTTAAATGGATTCATGTGAGATGGATGGAATCGTAAAGATTTTTTAAAGTGATGTTATGTCAGAGTGACAATGTTATGTCCCGTGCCGTTAAATGTAAAAACATTTTAACGAGGTTCTCAAATTGTCCGCCAACCGTATACGTCACAAACACACAGTTGCCATTTTTAACAGCTTCACTGTCAATACAGAAAGAAAATCAGCAGAGAAACAAGTGATTTTATGTGCACATGGTCAAGAGCTTCAGTAGCTGTTCAGCCGAAACTCTTCTGATCTTGATTTTCACCAAAACAGTCTCCTAGAGTTCCCACAGAAAGGCGTGGACCGGAAAAGGGGACTGGCCAGATTTGGGCTGAAGTGGAACCAGTCTCACCATGTCTTTTTAATTTTGGTAAAATGATGCACTTTTGGGATGTGGTGGAAGGAGAGGCTCTCAGCATTAATGTGCAGCTGACATAACCAGCTCTCATGCCAACATGGAGCAGAGTCTCCAGAAATGTCTCCAGCACCACGAAGAGATCGGGGCTTGTTCTGGGAGGAGCTGCTGTTCATGTGCATGTTTATCCAATGTGTTACAAGTTTCTCTTTTTCTCTCATCATCAGAGCAAAACGAGGCAAAGCATGACAACTCCTCATCCCCTGGAAATGCAGATCAAGAGAAAGAAACGGCAGCCAGCGCTTATGAAGCGTTTTCGGTAAAGTTTTTGGCATTCTAAACTTTCTAAAAATAATAAAAGCAACCACTAAGCCCAGTGTTTGCTTTTATTCTCGGTGCACCTGCCGCAGATGCAAAATTTCCAAAAAGACAGTGGAGCAATAAGCAGAGATCTATGGAGCGAGGGTCACACCACTCTCCTATTTTAAAAAAAAAGTATACGTTTATTTGGTCATTCAAGAGTTTAGAGCCAAGCTGATCCTAATGGTTTTCTTTCCAAGCCAGCAAATTGTTATGTGGTCGTGGTAAAAGCTCATCAAATGACTCTTCTGTGTTTTGGTCTTGGGTGGAAAGGTGTTTGGACTTAACAAATGATTAAGTCACACCGCTTTGGCTGACTCTGCAGGCTCTTTACCACAGAGTTGACAGTACACACACACACACACACACACACACACACACACACACACACACACACACACACACACACACACACTGTTTTTCTCGATGGCGCCTTGTACTAACCCACTCCTATAACATTTTTCGCCAGTACCGCCTTTAAATGAATGTGACAAACTGTGCGCCCGCTGATTTATATTACATTACATTTTCATTTAGCGGACGCTTTTATCCACAGCGACGTACAATAAGTGCATTCAACCATAGGATACAATCAGTGTTTTGAACTGGATGCGGGCGGCCACCGGTAGCCAGTGAAGAGAGCGGAGGAGTGGAGTAGTGTGGGAGAATTTAGGAAGGTTAAAGACCAGTCGAGCTGCTGCATTCTGAATGAGCTGCAGAGGTCGAATGGCGGTGGCAGGGAGACCTGCCAGGAGGGAGTTGCAGTAGTCCAGGCGGGAGATGACAAGAGCCTGAATCAGTACCTGCGCTGCCTTCTGAGTGAGAAGGGGACGTATTCTCCTGATGTTATAGAGCGCGTATCTATATTAATTCTGTGAATAACTTGATGACAGAACAAAATAAAACCCTTGCTGCTCAAAACACCCACTAGAGCCACAAATGTGTGGTAATCCACTAAAAGTAGTCCCCAAATGACACGCTATATCCTCCTGTTGGAGTTGAGTGTCATAACTGAAGTGGCCAGCTGTGAAAGTTTCACAACCTTTTTTAACTGCGGACTGCGACCCTCATCTTGTCACACACACACACACATACGGTGCATCTGGAAAGTATTCACAGCGCTTCCATTTTTCCACATTTTGTTATGTTCCAATTTTTGCTAATCTATTAAAAATAAAAAACAACATGTACAGAAGTATTCACCGCCTTTGCCATGATACTCAATGTGCATCCTGTTTCCTGAGATGTTTCTACAACGCGCTTGGAGTCCATCTTGCTGTATTCAGCTGATTGGACATGATTCAGAAAGGCACACTGTTAATATCAGGTCCCACTGGTGCATGTTAGAGCACAAACAAAGCCCCAAGTCCAAGGAATTGTCTGTAGACCTCAGAGAATCTCATCGAGGCACAGATCTGGCGACGGCTACAGAAAGATTTCTGCAGCATTGAAGGTCCCGATGAGTACAGTGACCTCCATCATCCCAAGTTTGCAACCAGCAGGACTCTTCCTAGAGCCGCACAGCCAAACCGAGCGATCGGGGGAGAAGGGCCTTAGTCAGGGAGGTGAACAAGCACCCGATGGTCACTGACCGCTCCGGGGTTCTGACAGAGTGAGCAACCCGCTCTATGAAGAGAGGAGAAGCTTCCAGGAGGACAACCGTCTCTCAGGCCCGTGAGGTAGAGTGGCCAGCTGGAAGCCACTCGGTACAAATCGCATGACGGACCGCCTGGAGTTTGCCGAAAGGCGCCTGAAGGACTCTTGGACAACGAGAACCAAAATCCTCTGGGCTGATGGAACAAAGATTGAACTTGTCGGCCTAATGTCTTTGATAAGACATGCCATGTCTGCAGGAAACCCGGTGAAGCATGGTGGTGGCAGCGTCGTGCTGTGGAGTGTTTTCCAGTGGGAGGAACTGGGAGACTAGTCGGGATTGAGGGAAAGATGAATGCAGCAACGTCCAGAGACGTCCTCGATGAAAACCTCAGCACACAGCCGAGACAACACAGGAGTAACAACTCTGAACGACCCAGCAGAGCCCTGACTTGAACCCAACTGGAAATCTCTGGAGAGATCTGAAAGTAGCCGTGCACATACGCTCCCCGCCCAACACGATGGAACCTGAATGTGAGAAACCGGTGTGCAAAGCTCGTAGCATCATACTCAAGAAGACCTAATTTGCTACCAAAGGGGCTTCAAAGGCTGTGGATACTTGTGTACATGTTATGTTCTCGTTCTTTATTTTTAGTAAGTTTGGAAAAGATCTGATTTTTGCTTTTTTCACTTTGTCGTTATGAGTGTTGTCTGTCAAAGTTGGAGGAAAAAAGTAATTTAATCCATTTTGGTTTAAGGCTGTGACATAACAAAAACTGAAGCACTGTGAATACTTTCCGGATGCACATCATTGTTGTGTTTTGCATCGAACACAATGCCGGGCGGCGATCACACGAGTCCACATGACACATGTCCATCCTCTGATCACTGACGTTTTAGATCGCTAATGTTGCTATTGAGACGTGACACAAGGCACTGATGGATTTGATAAGCACAAATTCCAGCACGCTG